AAAATGTCTTAATTTAAACTTTTCTTGAACGACTTTTCGTATGATTTTACAATTTTTGATATTTTCTAAACATATATCAAGGCTCGGGTTGGAGCAAAGTGTCAAACTTGATTTAACCACGATTGAGCTATGATTTTAGCACAAAATATCATAATGCTAACTTTTTCGATACGACCTTCAGTTTGATTTTACAGTTTTTAAATATTTTCTGTACATCGAGGCTCGGGTTGGAGCAAGGTGCCAAGCCTGATTTAACCACGATTAAACTATAATTTTAGCATAAAATACCATAATGCTGACTTTTCCGGTACGACCTTCGGTTTGGTTTTACAGTTTTAGGTTTTTTATGAACATAAATCGAGGCTCGGGTCGGAGCAATGTGTCAATCCAGATTAACCACGGTTGAACTACGATTGTACGGTACTAGCGGTCCAATAAAAACTCCTAATGAAATCTTAATCGGTAGGTAATTTTAGTTGTATGAAATTATATAACCACGGTTGAACTAAATTTTAGCACAAAATGACCTAATGGTAACTTTTTATGTACGACCTTCAGTATTGTTTTACGGTTTTTGATTTATCATGTACATGAATCGAGGCTCGGGTTGGAGCAATGTGTCAAGCCTGATTTAACCACGATTGAACTACAATTTTAGCACAAAATACCCCCAATGTTAACTTTACCAGTACGACCTTCAGTATGGTTTTACAATTTTTGGTCTTTTTTATGAACATGCATCGCGACTCGGGTTAGTGCAACAGGTCAAGCCTGATTTAACCACGATTGAACTACGATTTTAGCAGAAAATACCCTAATGTTAACTTTACCTGTACGACCTTTGGTATGGTTTTACAATTTTTATTTTTTTTCCTGAACACAAATCGATGCTCGGGTTGGAACAACTTGTCAAGCCTGATTTTAACCATGATTGAACCATGATTTTACCACAAAACGCTAACTTTTCTTGGACAAAATTAAGTTATAATTTTACAATTTTTGGTTTTCCGAACATAAATGGAGACACGATAGTCGATTCGCAACACCTGATCCAATGTAAGGGATAAAATGCAGCCTGCAAGTAAGGGATAAAATGATAGCTACTCATTATATAAAACTAGTCTCAATACCCGCGCCTACGCCGCAGGAGATTTAGCAATGTTTAATATACTTAAAAACATGTTGATAGCACAATAATTAGAAATACAATACAAATAGCAAGTACCATATGTGATATTAGAAAATTTAAGACTTTCTTGTTATGCAAGAAGCATTTACAATCATATTGATATCTACAAATCATAAGTATAAAAGAGTTACCTCATGTCCCATGTAACCGATTTGCCTTCTGCGAGCCAAAGAAAAGAGCTTCCTCTAGCACAACTGATTGTGAATTTATTCCTGATGTCCGTGGTTGTGGCTATCTTAACTACTAATGAAATGAATCTTCACTTCCCCCCAGCTTTCATTCTATGACATCCTCTTTTACTATTTTTGCTATTGGATGAAGCCCATCCATCTTCGAGGAGAGGTGATCTTCCTATTCGATTCCCAAGACCAAGAGCAGTTCTTTCTCATAGGTGCGGGACTTTCTTTGTCTTGTTTATTTTGGCATCTGTGACCCTAGTTCAAACTCTTCGTTAGTTTTCTAAATTTTAAGCTGAAAATGGCCCAAAAAGATACCCTTTATAGCTAATGCTCATTACTTAATAAATCATATCAATCCATACTCACGTTATCTTAGTAAAATTTCAGCAATTTTCATTAGAAAAAAGGGAAGCATCATCAACACGTACACAACGAAATTGTATTAATAGAAAAATATTAGGAGATACATCATTGAATTACTGCTATGCCTAAAAAGAAGTTACCGTAAAAGTGAACATGTAAAAGCTTCCATCCTAATCCATGACCATGGTATTAGAAGAATGCTTACTCGTCAATAGAATACAATGAGAACTACGGTAACTGTGCTAACTCCTTTTAGCTCATAAGCCAAACAAACCAAAAGAGTATAGTAAGTACTGAATATCTGAATACATAAACCAACAAATAGCAGTAGGCATGTGAAAACCAAAGAGATTAACAAAATGAGATCAATAAAGCTTAACCCCGAAAATACATTAGCAATGTAATGTTAGAATCGAAGCTCCGAGAGAGAAATCAAAGGGAACTTAGCTGTAGCTTCGTCCCTCCTATACAGATGATGAATTCTCACTCTCGCTGCCTCTCTCATTTCCGCCTCAATGCTTGGAGTTAAAAGAGAGAGGAGACAGGAAGAATAGGCCCAAGAATTACACAATCCACCACACAATTTCGACTACTCTCATCGGGAATGAGATCCATTGTAGTTCATCATCTGCTTATTCATCTCTACCAAACAAAAAGTAATAACAGACTTGAAAGAAGCAAACATTTTCTCTACTAATTGAAGATTTGAAATTTTTTCAATAACCAAACTTGTTTCGGCGTCAGTTCGGCTGCTCTGCAAGTGTGAAAAGAAACATTTTCTGGGTTCAGCAAGTCTACATAAACTATTTCAGGAAGCATAGTAGAAGAACAAATGAAAATGTGAATGTTCCCTATTAGAAAGTTCCATGATTATCAGCAGAGCCTACCAGAAAGAAATGTTGTTGAGATCCATCTTACGTTACCTTACCACCAGAACGCCTTTCAGGTAATTGCCGATCAAATGCACTTCCATGTAACTGCCAAGACTCAAAGCAAAGAAGGTTGAAATGTGTAAGGTGGCTTTCTATCAAGTACTAAAAGCTTACTAAGTGACTGATCTGGTAAATGTATAGGAAGCCATGACTGATTATAATCAGTGGTTCTATCTCAAGTACAAACAATGACAGAAAGAAAGAAGTTCTGAGCAGATAGCAAGGAAAGGTAAGTAAACATTGACAATCTCGCTTGTCTCTTAAGTTAAGCGTACTGTTTTTCATGAAAAGCAGACAAATTCGATATACAGACAACTGAGGAAAAACCACAAAACAACTTCATCGATTTTGCAAATTAGAACTTCTCTCCGTCACATCACACCTTAATATCACCCTCATGAGCTACTGCCTGTTATTCTTTACCAATTGAATTCAGGAAAGGAACTGTAAGAATGAATTTTGAAACATAAACAGAAAGCTAAAACAGGAAGAACTGAAGAAGAGAAGGATTAGTTGGTACATGCTTCATGTTATAAGCCTCTATGGTCTTCTCATATTGACCTTTCCTGTTATCTGCTTTTGCATTGTAAAGAGCCTTGTCCTAATGTATACAGACACACAATCGAAAAATGGATAAAGAGAACTAACCAAAGGATATGGACATAAGAATTTACTTTCAGAATCGTACCGGGTCGCAGAGTGACCAGAAATCCAGCAAGAAACGTCACTTAAATAAGTCGGCAAGCTGAAGTGGTTTCCAAGGTGTTGGCTACGGTCCGAGTTTAGGCTGTTGTTAGTCGGCTTCTATGGAGTGGCTTCACAGAAACTCTTCCCAGCGTCATCATCGTCAGCTCCTCGTCTTCCTCGTCGAAGTCGTACTCCACATCCGGCAAGATGAAGGCATCCTCACGGAAACAACGGTGCTTATCCATTAAGCTGTCATCGACGACAATTTGGGATCTAATCGTCCTGACCTGTATGAAGCACTTGGTTGCATTTGCCGATAACGATTGCAGAAGCGTAAATTGGGGGCATGAGTCAAGCCTGCTCCTCCTCCTGACTCTGCTTCCGTTGCTGTTAAGGATGGGACGGGTTCATCAGAAGGCATCTCTGAAGAGCATCTGAATCTTCCTGACCGAGACAGAGGAAGGCGAAGGGGATGGTGGTGCAGGTTGACTCCAAATCTTCAACGGCGACGGACGGAGCTTCCCTGAGGACATCCAGACCTATTTCGATTGCCAAGATTCATGGTGGTCACTGTTCAGGCGATGGTTGAAATAGAGGGTTGTTTGAATAGCGGGTGGGGAAATCGAGAATAGCGGGTGGAGAAGAGAAGTTCCTCTTAATCCAGAGGAGTATGGTGAGGACTGTACAAATGCATGGGCGTTGTGGAGCAGCTTTAAAGAGTTAACCACTCGAAGAAGCAAATCGGAGCTGTGAGTTAGCGTGAGCTGATTGAATTGTAGAGTTTGGGACTGAGGGTGATGGGATGGGGATACAGAAGCATGGGCGGGTACAGCTGGAAGGGTGGGTAAAATTTTTGGTGTAGCTGGCTGCGAGAAGGCTTATGCAGAGCTGGTTGAAGAAGGGTTTTCCACTAAACGACAAATAATGAAATAGTGTCGAAAATTTTGGGCCAATAAAGCGTACCCACTCTTTATATTTTAAAGAATTTTTACCTGATCATATCCTCTTTGGAGGAAAGAGGAGTAGATGGCACAAAATGGCTCGAGACCTTCAGCAGGTAACCCATCTGCAAAGGTGACAGCATGTTGCTCGGTGATCCCCACTTCAAAGTATCGATAGGGAACTTCTTTTAGAAATAGTTGAGAACAGTCCCACCACCCATTCAGCATGAATAGCTACTATCTTGTTGTCCGCCTCAGCTTCTTTGACTAATGATTAAGCAAAGTATCGTGTGTATGGAAGGGTAGAAGATTTCAGCTTGAAAAGCTGCCCCGTTTTGACAGCAAACTTCACCACTCCTGAAAGATGGACAGTTCAAAAGAGAGATATTTGACGGTCTTCTAATAAGGTCTTCCAAGCATAAAAATCTGAAGATTACTATGAAAATAGCATGACAATTCACCATATACTTGAAAGATATATCTGAAATGTGTTGTACCAAATTGAGTCACATATCAGACAATTGTACTCGCCATGCATTTTATAAGCAGCAGCCTCAGCAGGAGGATACCCTTTCCCCTTCTCAATTCTCAGTCACAATGTGAATCAAAACAGATCCTGAAGGGCTTGGTAGATAGCTTCTAAGAACAACCCCTTCCTTGCACCAATGCCTTCTAGTTCACCTGCATCTTAAAAATTCACTTAAGCTCGCACCAAAGCAGAAACATAAACTTTCCACGAATTAGAGAAACCATTGTTGGCGTTCTCTGCAGGTGCAATGTCGACTGACCTCAAACTTGCATTGCCTTTGGTTGTACATGTAAAGCAAAAACCATGATTGATATAAACAAATAATTAAACCAAGAGTGAGCATATTACTAAGATAGTTGCTCATGACTGTACACATGACTCAGAAATGACACCAGTTATCACCAAGATGACATACCCCACCGATCTGCTCTTCTGGAATATATGCAAACCAGCAATGTCATCATCTTGAGGGTGAGCAGCACCATCATCAAAATTGGCCATTGACACAAAAAAGCATCCATTAAGAGGATTGAAATTTCAATCTGTTGCATATGAAGGCCAGGGTAAGTACAAAACCAAGGAAAATACTTTTAAAAAAAACTGCAATCCTCAAATTGAGTCAGCAGTCACTCACCGTACTATCTTGCAACGGCCAAATATCTGTAGAGAATGGGAAATCAAACATGCAAAGGTATAAGAGATGAAAATCGCAACAATGAAGCACAAAGTCCCCAAACAAAAGAATTGAAGCCACTACAAATATGGACTTGAAAGGCCAAGGAAGAAGTTTATTCAGAACATACTGGGTCGTTTGCACGATCATCAATAGAGACAGCAAGCACCCTCGCCCGAGAAATAGGCATCCGCCCATCTTTCCACCACCTGAGGAATTCCTCCATTGTGGGCTCGAGACTGGTGACTGAGATAAGCAAAAAAAAAAAACAATAAAAGCAATCAATATCCAGTTTATAAATCCAATCCGCAACCTTAGCAGCAGGGCAGCAACATGAAATGAAACCTAGAGTGACTAAGGTTAGGGCCCGAAGGGAAGGGCAGTCGGGGCTCCTGGAGCCACAACCTTGTCGATTCGCAGGTGTAGCACAGTGAGATCAACATGGCAGTATGTTACAGCTTAGACGCCATTGGAGAAGATGCAGAAAGAAATGGTATCCAAAGGAAGGATAGAATAGAACACATGACTCACATTCTAGTTTACAAACTCGGTGAGAGAGATAACGGCAACAAACTGTAGAAACAAAGCAGATAGGCAGACCACAAAGAAGAGGTGAAAGATATATATGAAAATGTGCTATACAAAATTGAGTCATAGATTAGACAAATGGACTCACCATGCATTTTATAAGCAGCAGCCTCAGCAGGAGGATACCCTTTCCCCTTCTCAGTTCTCAGTCAACAGATCCTCTTGCCTTCCAGTTCACCTGGATCTTAAAATTCACTTCAGCTCGCACCAAACACCATAAGCCGAAGTAACAAATATTTTTAAAAGTCAATCTATCGACCCTTTTAAAGCAGAACCAGAACACCACCCTTCACAATTCACCCCATGATCCATAGAATCATTAGAGTACTAAGGCATCTGTGAGGCTGAGACGTTGAGCAGGAGCTCAAAGGAGAGCTGCTGGGAACTATTGGAACCGATTTCTTGTTGGTCTTTGTTGAAGGGCAACTGCCCAACTCCTCCACCATGAACCAATAACTCCATGGAAAGCGGTGCAGTAACTCAGAAACCACAACTGGAACAGAAACACGCACAAAGGGATTGATTGATTATATGAGATGCCAAAGCTTGCAGCCTGTGAACCAAAAACATATCCCGAGAAACGTTACAATTTCAACTATTCCTGAAAAAATAAGTCGAGAGGTGAAAGTCCCAAAAAAATAAGGCGAGAGTTCATTGAGCGTTTCTTTTTCAGCTATTCCTGCGACTTCTCTTCCACCAACAAAACAGAACAAAGAGAGACGGGACTGAGGCGAAGCAACACCTCTAGGGCGCGAGAAGTACTTTGCGATGGCAGATCTCCTTCCTTCTTGTCACATTCATTCTCACCACGCTGCTCCTGTTCCAAATCGATCTCGTATTCCTCTGCGTTTGAGTTCCATGGCGGCCAACAGCAAGAGAAAACTTTAGGGTTTGGGTTGTGGAGAGAAGAAGGGGATTATGGAAGGAGAAGAGAGGAAAGCAAAAGAGAGCTGGTGGAAGAACTGGGGAGTGAATCATGGAACAGAGAGAGAGAATTCCTATTCCAATAGGAGGCGACAGGCGAGAATGAGGTCGAAAGGTTGGCTTGTCCCAGTGTACAGTGAAGTCAAGGCTGGTACCTTGTCCAAGTAGCTATACACAGACGGGTTGTAGGCTGCGCCAGCGAGGTAAGGTGGTATGGCCGTATGGGTTATAAGTGGCAGACCGGCGATTCCGGGAAAGCAGGGTGAAGCGACCCGGAGACAAAAAGAACACGCTTCGCTGCAGGGTTTGCGGTAGGGGCGAACTGGAACATGTGTACAGAAAGCGTGTGTGCTGATCTAACCAGGCGGCGGCAAAATTTGCTTCTGATCCGACCCAATCGAAGCCATTCCGGCCGCCGCGACCACCCACCCTACGGAGAACACAAACTCCCCTCTCCGCAAAACGACAAATAATGAAACAGTAGTAAAAATTTGAGGGTGATAAAGCGTACCCACTTTTTATCTTTTAAAGAACTCTATAAACCTGGCCAAGCATTGATGAAGCCAGCTCTCATTATAGATTAGCCTAAACCGAAAAGAAGAAGATTAATTAGCAACAGGCCAATAAAAAAATGGCTGTGAGCAAAGCAAAACTAACCAACCTGTCACATTAGAATAACACTTATGCAACAGTAGATACTTTCACTAACTTATTTGTATATATATATAGAAAATGTGTACAATGGTTCGAACTGGCCGGACCCCGATCAAACCATTAAACCTCAAACCTCTTACTTGATTGGCTCAATAACTTAAACCGGTTGGACAACCTTGCAGTACTCATCAACCCTTATTTGATTTGTGACCGCGTTTAGCAGCGATCCAATAGAGGAACTCCTAAAAGAATCTTAATTGGTAGATGATTTTAGCTGTATGAAATGATTTAATCACGGTTGAACTATCATTTTAGCATAAAAAATGCCCAAATGCTAATTTCTTCGGTACAACGCTGATTTAACTACGATTGAACTACGATTTTAGCACAAAATACCCTAATGCTTACTTTTTTGGTATGACCTTTGCTATGGTTTTACAATTTTTAGTTTTGTTTTTGAACATAAATAAAGGCTCAGGTTGAAGCAACGTGTCAAGCCTGATTTTTTTAACCACGGTTGAGCTATGATTTTAGCAGAAAATACTCTAATGCTAAGTTTTCCGGTACGACCTTAGGTAGGGATAAAAATGAGTCGAGATCTGATGATAGAAATAAATGACGTTATTTTCTCAATTTTTCTTAATTGGTTTTTATTTTTCGTATAATTTGGATTTCAAAACTTTTTTTAACAGATTCACCGTGTTCGGTGTGATCTGCAAAATGAGATCATTTTCATTTTTCAATATATTTTAAGAATAAAATTGTAACCATTCTTTACCACCTTGGTATCACTTTTGTTTTTAACTCGAATTTAAGAAAAAAAATTATCAAAAGAAATGAGATCATTGTGAACAATTAGATATAAAAATTTCTGGACCAAATAAACCACCATGTACCACCTTGGTATAGGGTGGTAACTGGTGGTAGACAATAATGAAATGTGTTAAATGACAGTTCATATATTTCTACTACCATGTATACAATTATTATACACTATAATATATTCATATCATTCTTGTACACTTCTATATACATGGTATAACTTAGGGTTGGCTATTTGGTCCGGGCTTTTTGGTTTTACCCAAAACTGGACCGTATAACCCGGACCGGATAGTAAACAACCCAATCCAATCTTCGGGCCTAGATTTAAGGTAAATCGATCATCCATAAATTTAACAAGAATTTTTTTTTTTAATTCACAAAATAAGGAATAAATTATTTTTTCATTAAGTAAATTCACTAAAATGATATCATTTTATTTAGAAGTCTTAAATCGATCATGCCAGTTATACTGATTATGTTTATGCCAGTTTCATGACCGACAACGGTTGAACCATGCTATCAACTTGACAACCATGATAGCAACAATACATGACCAGACCGCACAACAATTAGTAACCACTATTTTTTGGATGCAAGAGGTGCAACATTTTTCAAGCCAAACCATAACACATATATTCCACAGACAAACTCAAATTGACGGCCCGACAAAAAATAGTACAAAATTGCACCTCGGCCTTTGCGAAGCGAGGCCAGGTCTCCTCTAGTCTTAAATATAAGTTTGGTACTGTTGCATAAGAGAAACGTTAACATGATATGTGGGTTCTAATTTAGAAATGACAGTGCACTTATGAAAGTTAAATATGGATTATTGTTGCATAAGAAATATGCTATTTTGCACGATTGGGGAAATGTGTCTGATCGTCACTTATTCAAGTTGAGAGTTGCTTGCATTGACTACTTGACTTCATGGTCGAGATGCAATGGACGCGATAAATACTTCATTAAAATTAAAAATATTCTTAATACTAATTAAAGATATAAGTTTGGTACTGTTGCATAAGAGAAAAGTTAATATGACATGTGGGTTCTAATTTAGAAATGACAGTGCACTTATGAAAGTTAAAAATATTCTTATTCAAGTTGAGAGTTGCTTGCATTGACTACTTGACTTCATGGTCGAGATGCAATGGACGCGATAAATACTTCATTAAAATTAAAAATATTCTTAATACTAATTAAAGATATAAGTTTGGTACTGTTGCATAAGAGAAAGATTAATATGACATGTGGGTTCTAATTTAGAAATGACAGTGCACTTATGAAAGTTACATATGGATTATTGTTGCATAAGAAATATGCTATTTTGCAAGATTGGGGGAAATGTGACTGACGTCACTTATTCAAGTTGAGAGTTGCTTGCATTGACTACTTGACTTCAAGGTCGAGATGCTATGGACGCGATAAATACTTCATTAAAATTAAAAATATACTAGGTGATTCTCTGCCGTGCTTTGCTGCAGCTTTTTATAGGATTTAGATGTATTGTTTGTTAATCCGTATTTGATTTGTTACCGCATTTAGCAGATTTCCATTAAAAACTCCTATTGAAATCTAAATTTGTTAGTGATATTACCTGTATGAAATGATTTAATCATGGTTGAACTATAATTTCAGCATAAAATGTCCTAATGTTAACTTTTTCGGTACAACTTTCGGTATGATTTTACATTTTTAGGTTATTTGTGAACATGCATCGATGCTCGGGTTGGAGCAACGTGTCAAGCATGATTCAACCACCATTGAGCTATGATTTTAGCAGAAAATACCCTAATGATAACTTTTCCGGCACGACCTTCGGTATGGTCTTACAATTTTTTTTTCCTGAACATAAATTGAGACTCGGGTTGAAGTAACATGTCAACCCTTATTTTTAACCATGGGTGAACTACAAATTTAGCACAAAAGACTATAATGCTA